AATTATTAAAAGTTCTTGGTACTAAGAGCCCGGATACCGAATTCGATCATATCTTGGATACAAAGCTCAAACATATAACTCAACTTCCAAATATAGAGCCTCTGAATAGCACATGCAGAACCTCTAGTTCAATACAAGTTGAACATTTTGAAAAGATCAAAGTCTCAAACACAACCAAAGCCCCTCTGGTTCTTAAACACTTCTTTTTATCACATCAATAAGATGCGAGGTTATGCCTAGCTCGACTTCAAGGGCTTACCAACAGACCCACAACCCAAGTCCTCATATCACACAAATACGATAACTTAGGATCATCACCTCATAAAAATGTGATAACAAAACCCATGATCAAAAGATCATCATTTCCAAAAATAGATTATGCCACCCTTATTACCAATGTACGCAACTCCTGATTATGCCACCCTTGTTACAAATGTACGCAATTCCTGATTATCACCCTTATTACCAATGCACACAACTCCTGATTATGCCACCCTTATTACTAATGTATACAATTTCTTGATATGCCACCCTTATTACAATACATCATGATATAATCATGGTCAAAACCACCTTTTTACCAAAACTGGCAACCAAATCCGTTTCAAAACAAAATCTCATATAAAAAATCTTACAATTCTATACCAGATTTACCAGCAAACTCAAACAACTTTCAAGAACTGTTTATCAATTTTCCCACATAACAACCATACGGTTCAATAATTCAAACACCACATAAAGAAATTTGATAACATAAACTCACATTTTTCACGAAGTTGAACATGAATTCACACAACAGCAACTTCAAATAAAACCACAGAATCAACTTCTTCTTTCTTTCACACGAAAACACACAGAGGTTTTTCTTTCTTTTCTCACTCTCCAAAAAGAGTAATAAGATAAGATGAGTCTTATCTATTACTTTTATACCACCATGATTAACTTCTAGGTGGTGGAGTTTATTATTTTAAAATTCATTATTTCACATTTTCTCATGAGATAAAACAAAGATCTCATGTTTACAATCATAAACTTATAAGAGGCAGTGATAATTTTATCACTTAAGCACATTCACAATTAAAGCCCCTTAACTTACCGTCAGCTTAAAAATAAAACCACCCCAAACTTAATATTAAATACACACACACACACACACACACACACACATATATATATATATATATGCGAAAGATAGTATGAGAAAGAGAATTAAAATGAGAAGCGTATGAAGGGATTTGAACTCTTGATCATCTTTAATCTCAAACTCAATCATGAATAACGCTCGATATACTAGAGAAATAATTATACTACCCGGATGCAAAAAGATATACTACCCAATTATGTAACGGGGTCCTATCAAGGGGGTGGTAATGTCGTGGTTATACTACCGCTTGAACAATCGGGCAGTATTCACCTAATGGAGTTTGGTTATTATCAACCCATCGAGTAATATCCAGTTTAAAAGGGGGCGTGAATGTTGCTTAATGTAACCCAATTCTTCTTAAGTAACCGAGTAGTATGTGACTAATATAGCTCGGTTCTTTTTAAGTAACTGGGTAGTATGTGACTAATATAACTCGGTTATTTTTTAAGTAACCGGGTAGTATATGACTAATATAACTCGGTTCTATATAAGTAACCGAGTAGTATATTTGTTGATATGACCCAGTTCTTTTTAAGTAATTGGGTAGTATGTGGCTAATATAACCCGATTTTTTTTAAGTAACTGGGTAGTATGTGACGAATATAACCTGGTTCTTTTTAAGTAATCAGGTAGTATGCGACTAATATAATCTGACTCTTTTTAAGTAATCGTGTAGCATTTAGTTTAATTAAAAGAAATATAAATTTAACCTGGTTGTATTCTAGGAACCGAGTTGTATTATAAGGGTTATATTTGCATTTGTGTAGTAGTGTACGTGGATTGATCCAGTGTATCTTGGTGTATCTCATCCTAATGTGGTTCCAAGGGTGGAAATGCGTTCTTATGCTTCTTGCCTTAACTCTCATTCTCTCACAAGAACCCCCAACCCTATATACCGTTGGGTTTTTTTTGACTTGTGAGACCATCAAATAACAATGCATCTTCATAGAAAAATACTTAACCATCACAGTAAAAACATGTGAAGGTTTACCATCACAATGTCTTGTTGTGAAGATTCAATGTTATTTAAGTGGTCTCAAAGGTCTGACGAGAACAAGTTAGTCTAACATGATCCCAATATATGTATATATATAGGGAAGAGTTAAAATGAAAATGCCCTTGTTTTACGAAAATGCGAGAATATTTACAAGCCTTCAAATTATTTAACCTATAACTAAAATTAAAAGAAAAATGTAAACAATTATGGATAATCATTTGACCTCGTATTTTTTTTAATGTTGGTCAATTTATTATCCCTAAAATCATGTATAGATAATATACTCACCGATCACAATGTATCAAAATTATCACATCATTATCGCATTATTGTAATAACCGGATCCTGGTTATTACTCAAGGTAATTTATATGTGATTATTTGATTAAATGATTATGTGGTAGCATGATAATTTGATACATACTGGTATGAAAATTATGTGCATAATATATGCATATGTGTTTTGTGTGTGCATGCATGGAGTATGTATGCATGAGTATGGGATATGTATGTATAGATGTATGCATGGTGGGTTATATGCATGAGGTGGAAGGAAGAAAGGAAGGCGGTTAGCCGACCTTTCCTTATTTTGAAAGTATAAATAGAGGACTTATCCTCTCTTTTGCTCTCTTTGCTATTATAAGTAAGTTTGAGTGCTCTAAAAGATTAGTGTTGTCCGGTTTGCTAAGAGAGGTGATTTCAAGTTAATTTCAAGTGTCCAGTTTCAAAAGGGATTGATTTCTAGAGTTTTGGTTTCAAAAGCTTTATAAGGTGATTAGTTTCTAAACCTTTTTGTATAAAAATTCTACTAGTTTTATTTGCATGTTTCATATTGTTATTCTTTGGAAAAAAACCTTGATTATTTTGTCTAAGTGTTTATCCGGACAAAGCTTGAGAGGTTTATTGTCCGGATTAGCTTGA